CCCACCCCCAGTGGACACACCAGCCCCACCCCCAATCCTGTCTGCCTTTCCCTCCCACCCCAGTTTATTTAAATAGAGTTCCTGATGTGGCTCCTGGCACCAACAAATGTCTGTACAAGCAGAGGACCTGGTCAACAATCACACGATTTAAAGTAAGCTGCCTGGTTGTACACTGGGTCCTGGGAATGTCTGCACACACCCCAAGTTGATTTCCTGGTTATAGACCAGAATGAAAGTAAAGAGTGTGTCATACATAATTTAAGATCATAATAAGATTTAATAAAAGGATAAAGGGATAAGATTATGAGCCTATTAACATATGTCCAAATGGCACAATGTGGTGTTATGCAGAATTACTTGAGTTAGCTCAGGCACTGGAAGCACTCAAACTATGCTAGTTCAGTTCTCCACTTAGAATACTTTGCCTTTCTGAGCTTTTTCAGATTTAGTTGTGGCTGCTGTCTCCAATACTAGTTAGGCATTTTATCCAATGATTCTTTAATGCAAAATATATAAGCAATTCAGGCAGCAAGAACCAGTACCCAGGATTTACCCTGCCCAGCAAAGAAGCCTAACACTACTGTACAGTAGGGCTGTGTGAAATGTCAATGCCTGTTTTGTTTCAACACTCTTTCAACTCATTTTCAGCTCAAAACAGTGAAATCAAAATGAAATGAAGGGCTTCAAAACAGCCTTGAAATGAAACAAGGCAAGTCAAAATGTTTCAAAAATTTCGAAACATTTTGAGTTTTGAAGCAGCCAGCTGCCAGGTGGGAGACAAGGGAGAACGAGCACTGCACTCCCAGCAGCTCCACAATCCCATGTGGCTCATCCAGGAGCACAGCCCTGGTTCTCCCTGCCTCCTGTGGCCAGGCTGCAGGAAGCCAATTGCAGTGCAGGAGAAGAGAACTGAGCCCAGAACTGAGCACTCAGCTCCTTTCCCCAGCTCACCAGTCCAAGGCAGCAGCACCCAGCTTCCCTTCCAGGGTTGCGGACCCCTGATCTGCCTGCTGGATGACAGAAAATGTTTTGAGCTTCCCCATTATAGCCTATGGGCGAAACAGTGTCAAAACAGCATCACTGTTTCAATGAAACAAAACAGAACAGCAGTTTTGTATGAAAACAAAAGACTGTTCCATTGAAACCTTGAAACACAAGTCGCAATGGAACGGTGCCATTTCGCACCGCCCTACTGTACAGCCACATTCCCTCTTATTTGCTCCCTGAATGGTACAGACATTACATAGTATAGGATAAAATGGATAAACAGCATTAGGAACAGGGCCCAGAACAGACGGCTTTCTCCCTCCATCCAGAAGCAGTGCCTACCACATTGGGCCACAAACTAACACTTTCTTGCTTGCATTTCTTGTGCCCCCAAGTCTCTTTCCTCTTGACTGCCCAGAGGCTTACCAACAACAAGAGAGCTTTCATTCCCATATTGCTAATGTCCTGAAATTTAGGGTATCACCCTAAAAGTAAGAGGATGAAGTTGGCCTAAAAACGAGGTTTCCCACTTCCTAGACATTTTTTTTGAAAAAAAAAAATAGAGGTCCTTCTTCTCCCTTGTCTGACAGGTAGGCATTCCTCCAAGTAAACTGGATCTGAATGGAACATCACGCTCTTAGTGACTTGGGTAAACGGAATCCAAACAAGATGGAAGCATGTTAGCTTTTCCACAAGTCTGGCTATTGAAAAAATGGGGAATACACATGTAGCTCTCTGGGACAAAATAGGATTGGTTACTGCAGAGTACAAAAAGGATTAGCCTTTGGGATGAAAGGGGACTTAGCCATTGAGAGAATGGGGGATTTGGATCCCTTGGAGTTGGAATAGGATTAGGTATCCTGAAGGAGGTGGCCAAGTTTGGGACAATTTGCAAGTTTAAATAGAGGCTCCTTAGAGGCGAAAATAGAATTGGGATCATAGTATTCAACAGATCAATAGGATGCTTACAATAAATGAAAATATATTAATTTCTGAAACATGCTTATAACACCTAGTAACCTCTAGTTAATGCTACATAAACAATGTAGGTACACATAAAATAAATCATGTCCTTGATATCTCATTGGCTTCTGTGGCAGGCCAACATTTCTGCAAAAATTGTCAGGTTTCTGTGAAGCCAAGATCAATGGCCCTCAAGTTGGTTTATGTGGCTAAAGTGGTGGATATTTACCCCTCTGAACACAGTGCAACCTTTATGAGTGATCTTTGTAATGGCATCAAATAGGAGTTTGGGGTGTATCAGCATTATTGAAGTGTAGCTGTCCCCATTTTTTGATACTACTCAATTCTGTATAGAAACAGCTATATAATACAGATTTCTAGAGGATACAGAACTATCAAATAAAGTCAAATAATATCCAAATAGCAATCAAGCTGATAAAGCTATTTTCTTTTGCAATTTAAGAAACACGCATTGATTAAGAGTCATTTAATTTAGTTGATTCAGCAAACACTTACTATATGAGCATCCGTAAACCTCAATACGCATTCCAATTCTACCATTGGGATTCCAGTCCAAGGGGACAAAACGAAGAAATCTTGCTTTGATGGAATGTTGGAGCCTATAGTGCACAACACTGTCTGCATTTGTGTTTCCTGAAAAAGCCTAGAAGAAATGGAAAAAAAAATGACTATATCTATACTGAATACATATGTATATAAAAGCAGTCTTGACCTATTACTCCTCATTTTATAGCCATATCTATGAAACACTTAGGCATGTAAATAAATTTATGTAAGTTCCACTGAGTTTCTTGATAATGTTCATGAGTTAACTCACTCATATGCTTAAGTGTTTGCAGGATCAAGTACTCAGAAATGTAACTTTTCATCAGCCTATGTATATCGTGTTTATTTGAGTGCCATTAATTTTTTAACATTAAAACAAGGGAATGTGTTAAAAAATCTGTCAATTATATGTTAAAACACTTGCATATTTCAGAGCATTTTACCATCTAATATTCTCTATGGATAAGTTAGCATATATATTTCTCTGTTCTCAAGAGTAGTTTAATTTTTGATACCCTGTTTCACTTCAGCTGTGAGCTAAAGTGAACCCAAGAACTCTTATCCAGTACTCTGGATTTCCACCTAGTAAAGAGAAATTATTATAACAGAAATTTTAAACAGCAATTTTGTAAAATAAAAAAACTGTCCCTGTACTTTATTTGAAAGGTAGAAGGGCAATGGATTAAAAGAAAAACCCTGGGTTTTTTTACATGCATGCAATCAATACCCTTGCTTCACTTACCAAAAGAAACAGGTTAAAATATCTGCTAGCTAAGCATTATGAATTTTGGTATTGTAAAAAGAAGAGAAACTCTTTTAGATATTTGTAGTAGATTTCTTATATTTCTTATATTATTTTATTATTGGTTTGTGTTATAAAAGATGCAACAAAGTATTCAAAACATTTATGTTTTAGGTTTAAATACTTGATAATTCAGACAGAGAATACTATCCCAAAAAACATTATCCGGAGCAAATCACAGTAGCTATTTCCAGATATGAACAACAGGAACATATTCAAATTTAATAAACAGTACATTTTCATTTCTATTATGTTTTGATTATTATGAGACATTTGCTATTGCTGTATGCTAAATATTTGTTCCAAATATAGAAGGATATTTAAGCCAGCTTGTTCCATTTTGAAATTTCTCACCACATCTTTTTGCATAAGCAGCAGGGGTGAGTTTCAGCACATTCATCATCACATGTCCCCTAAGTAGAGATGAATCTTACCACCTTCCCTCCCGTATCCTAACAGAATTTCAAATTAATTGTTAGCTTGGAACATTCTGTATGAAGAAACAGCTAGTGAATGGGCTCATTAGAGCTAACCTATTAAGCCAGTAATAAGCAATGAGAGTCAGCAACTCTAAATGCCTATACCACTTTCAGCTTCATGCTTTATAATCTCACTGTCACAGTGGGTGAAGACAGAAACACTGTAAAACAAACACAGGAGAACTGCTTCTATTTTCAGTACAAGACCCCTCCCAACCTCTTGTCCCTTGGAATCCTTATTTGTAATCTCTAATAGATGTAACTGCTACTGAATGTGCCAATTAGTTTGTTGACTGAACCAGAACCCAAGCCCCAGAAGCTTAAGTGCTGTGAGCAAATGAAATGTTCCATTAAGACTTCAATTTTTTCAAGATCATTTTCAGAGGGCATGCACCTAGTGAAAATTAACTTTTGAAAACAGACTGTGTATGGTCTACTTTTTTTTCCTTCAGGGCACACTTGAATCATATGTTCTTAATTCAAAATTAACTTTCAGACATCAAAAATAAGCTAAAAGTGATTCAAACTCACATTTAAACCATTCAAAGAGGTCAGTTTTGAAACCAAGATTTTCTAGCTGTCATTTTACAAAGCCTTTAGCTGCAAAGAATAGGTTCAAAATATAATCATTCAGTCAAGTAGTAAATGTACCTATATTAACTGATTTAAAATATTTTGAAGGTTAAAATCCTTCTCGGTTCTTATCACATTTCAAGGTGAAGAGAGAAACCACTTTTTCACTCTGCCTATTTTTCTTCATTGGATTGTAAGTGCCAAAGGCCCAATGTCAAGCCTCTAATGTAAATTAGAGGCTTTGTAGAGAATTAGTACCTTCAACTCAGTGACAATCTTCATATCAGTAAAACTATGGATTTACTATCCAATCCTGCCATCTTTTAAGCATTCAAAGCACTGAGCTTATAAAAGTTCTATTTGATTACTAATGTGTCCAAACATTTGTAGGAATCATGCCATAGCTGTGGACTAGTTAGGGACTTGTCTGCAGGCAGGAGGGTCCTCACAACCTGCTTAATTTAGCTTTGACAAAAAGCCACAATTAGGTATTACACAATAAAAAATTATATTAAAAGAACATTTTTAAAGTTATTAAGATAATGACTCAAAACTGAGGAAACATCAAGCGCCAAAATGAAAGCTCACTTTTGAAGCTTAAGTCAACTTCCTTGTGCATATATATTATGGACTGCCTACATCAGGGGCAGGCAATTATTTCAGGTAGAGGGCCACTTAACTAGGTTCGGTGAGCTTTCAAGTGCCGCATGGGTAGCCCCACCCCATTGACAGTTGCCTTGCCCCCTGGTCGCCACGTTGGGACCAAAAGTTCCACCCCTAACCCCTGACCTTTGCCACCAGAAGTCCTCTTGCCCCTAGGAAATACTCGTTTTGAGAGGGGTGGTTGCTACCTTAGAACCAGGAAAAAAAACCCAAAAAACAAAAAACAAATTATACATTAAAAGTCAAACATCAACTATAACGTATTTTAATTTTATTACCAAAAATATTTTTGTCATAATATGTGTTTGCTTACTTGTATATAGAGGTGATTGCATAATAACTTAAAAAATATATTCTTAGCCTTGTATATTGTGTGGGGGTGTGGCTGGGTGTGTGTGTGTATGGTGGGGTATGTGGGGAGCGTGTGAGGGGGTGTGGCTGTGAATGAGGGGACATAGGGTATGTTGGAGGGCTGTGCATATGTGAGAGGTTGTGGGAGAAGAGTATGGTTGTATGCTGTTTGTGGGGTCTGAGGACCCTCCCCCCCATGGTGCAGCCACTGGCAGGGGCACTTGGGGTGCTCATGTCCAGTGGGGCCAGCACTGAACATCACGGTGAGGAATGCAGGCCCCACCAGGTCATCTCTATCACAGGCACTCCCTGCTGTGCATGCACAGCCCCTGCACTCATGCAACAGGGGAGGGACGCCCCATGTGCTGGAGTTGGCTGCCTTCCCCCCCCCAGCTAGCTCCAGTGTGTGGGGCTTGCTTCCCATGGTGCATGAGTGAAAAGGCTGTGTGTGCATGGTGGGGAGTGCTGGTAATAGAGATGGCCCAGCAAAGTCTGTGCTTCTCACTGCAATGTGAAGCACTGCCTGGAGCTGGTACTGGGCATGAGCACCCAGAGTGCCCCTGCCTGCTGCTGTTGCTGCCACTTCCTGCCAGAGCTGCACACCATGAAGGGAGTGTGGGAGGGATTCCTCACACCCTCCCACCCCTCAAACTCACACGCTGTCTACCCAAGCTCCACACTGCTGCTGCCCCCTGGGTGTGGTCTCCACACTGCTGCCAGCCCCATCCCCATGCTTTGAATTTCCACCCAGCTGCAGCTTTGCCCGCATCACTTTCCTACCTGCTGCTTGGATCCAGCAGGGCACCAGAAAAGCAGAACAGGTCCCTGGTGGCTGCAGCAGCAGCAGTGCCACCACGAAGCTGTGTACTGGCCGGGGTGGGAGTAAGGTACAATAGGGTATGTTGAGGGGGGTGTATACCTGGGTGCCTTGCTGCAATCTTCATGGGCAGAAGAGCTGAGCACAGTACAGCTCATTGGTGGGTAATGAGGGCTGGCTGAAAGTCCCTGATGGGCCAGAGACCACCCACAAGCTGTATTTTGCCCACCCCCAAACTACATGATAGCATGCTGCTTTTAACATAGGAGCCCTGTCACATTTGATACACAAATGCTCACATGAGTTACCTCTACACCACAGATATCATAGGTGTGGAGACAGCCATGACAGCCAGATCCTGGAATTAATCTAGCCATGACAGCACGGAGTTCCTTTTCCTAGTAGATTCCAAAGTGTAATGTTGCATACAAGATAATAAGTATTGTGTGCTGAGTTTTGAATTCTATATGCATGTTATGCATTCTGTCAGCAGAGGGTACTGCTTGAACTGCATTATCTAGGGTTGATGTTTCTTGTTCCATTTTACCCATATAATATCGGGAAGTTTCAGCTGTTGTTAATAAGTATGGTTCCCCTGTTTTCCTTGTGTGATCTCTCTAGGACAAGAACCCTACAGATTTAACTTTATTAGTGAATGTTAAAAGGGGAATTCCAAAGATGAAGGGGTAAAAGGAAATACAAAGTGGCTACATAGTAGTGGGTGAGGGGAGGATGCAACTAATTACACAGCAAAATTTGGCATACTTAGTGCAGCGGTGGGTTAGGGTGAGGAACTTGGGAGCTAAAGGCACCACACTTACAAAGAAGAGAGGATATAAAATGTCCTGCACAAGCAATCCACATCATTACAGAGTGATGGGTTTTAAAGGACACACACAGATACAAGTAACAATATAAGGTACAATTGTGGGGGTGAGGTACAGTCTAGGCATAAGAGTTCTTAGTCATGATCTGTTGGAAAAGGTGTTCAGGCAGCTTCTGGCCAGTGGCCTGGAGTCCAGCTACTGGTGCTCACCCATAATGTGCTTGGCGTAGATGTCCCTCGACCATCTGAGGGTGTCAGACACCATGAGGCACCTCATTAATTTGGCATAGCAGCAGGATACTCAGCAGACACACAGAATCCTCTTGTTGCTGGGCTCCCATGCTTTGAGTGCTCATCAGATCAGTGCCTCAACCATCATCTCATATTCCTGGCTCCTCATCGTGTCCACTAATGGCTTATACTTTGCCAGCTTCCACTTGCAGGCTTTGATGACAGCCAGCTGCCAGTTCTCAAATGGGATGTTGACATCGACCATCATAATGTGCCTGTTTTCTTTGTCAGCCGCAACAATGTCTGGGTACAGTTGGCTCTCACAGCCTGGGATAGTCCCAGCTGAGGCTGGAAT